GCCGTAGGTGTGTTGGGGAGTACGTGGTTGAGTAGTTTTGCAGTTAAGGGGAGACAACTATGTCAAGTTTCTTGGCTTAAACATTCCGACTTACTCTTTTCTCATTATCAACTACTGATTGAGTTTGATTTTACGCCGCTTTTAGCAATATTCCAGCAACATCACGGCGGGGGACACCAGAAATGGGCTTCACACATTGTACCCATGTGGGGATTCGAACCCGGGTCTTCGGCGTGACGAGCCAACGCTTTAACCACTAGGCTACCCCACCGCCCCGTTATCATCTAATGTTGTTCAGACTTTTAGAAGAATATTTATCATGTTTCAGGATTTTTTATCAAAAACGCAAATTCCAATCCTGATGCCTTGAACAAATATAAACTCCTCATTCTAACATCCGCACTAAATGTCGGTTAAATCCAAGCATTTCAGCGACATAGAAAAATATGTAGATATTATTACACAAGCAAGTGTGCCATACGACTTATCCGAGACGACAATATCATAGGCGGAGCGAGAGGGGTCGGGGATGCGCACCCCCACCCCCACCTCTCCTGAAAGTTTATTAAATGACCATTGAAACTCGTGAAAATGACGTGTGCACCCCCCTTTCTTATGAGTGTGTATCCCCAACCCCTTTCTAAAAAAAGCTGTACCCGCCCCTGCAATATAGATAATAAACACACTTATATACTTCAGTAAAATTACGGAAGACAAGTATAGATACGGGGAGATAAAACAATTACAATCAACACACTTGTTCCCGTTCAGTAATATGAACAGGCCTTTATTACAGACACTAAGGTGAGGTGAGGTGAAATTGGGTTTAACGTCGTGCTTGAGAATATTTCGCTCATATCACGACGTGCATGCGTGTGTATGTGTATGTGCGGCTGCTTGTACTATCCCAGACTTAAGCTGGTTTTATAGTGCTAGCTCACTGAGATACCATGCCGCAGTGAAGCATGAATACCCCACTCAGACACAGTATACTGACTCCGAGCCGACCAGTCCTTGTTGTACCCAATAATGCCGAGCGCCAGGCAGGGACCAACAAGTACCATATTTTAACGTCTTTTGGTATGACGCGGTCGGGGATCGAACCCGCGACCTTCCGCTCTCCGGGCGGACGCTCTAACCACTACACCACGGAGACGGTCACAGACACTAGGGAACGACACAAGGTTCATGTCATATATACACGGAAACGCTACACTAAAACACAACGTCAGCAGCTGTTGCTGATACGTTTAAACAAAACACCTTTCATATCTACTTTGAACATAGACGAAATGCTCCCTGTAGTTCTGTATCTTGATCATTTGCCACCCGTTCCTTTGTTATACACAGTGTTGTCAACGTCAGACAAGAGTCCGCCTGGCTAACCGAGCTTTTGAGCTCAGAAAAAAATACAATGTGCAAACTCGAATTCTGGAGAGAGGAACAGACATCAGCCTCCAAACCAGAAAAAGTTTATAGTTACAACCTGAATATAGTGAACTTGTTATATCCATATTAAAGGACACAGTTGAAGAATATTCAGATATTGATGTATATGATGAAAATGCTAATGACCTTAATATAAAACTTAAGATTGATGATAGTGTATTTTTAGAAACCTTCCTTATGAATGTTAGGGGAAAATCAATTTCATTTTCAACCTTTCTAAAAAAGGAAAACCATTGATAAAACCACAGAATTAGAAACTAAAATTAAAGACTATGAAGAATCAATAAGAAAGGACTTTCAAACTATAGATGAAAATTTATTATCTGAACTTGCAAAATATAAATTTGAACTACAACAAATTAAAGAAGATGAAATAAAGGGGTATACAGCTCAGAAACAGAATTTTATGGTATGAAGAGGGGAAAAGCCAACCAAGTATTTTTGCAACCTAGAAAATAGAAATTATGTCAGCAAATCAATTAATAAGACTGTCACGGATAACAATGATGAAATTACTGACAGCTTTTCTATCTTAAATGAAGTAAAAAACATTTTACAAACAACTTTACTCTTCTGGCAGGAAATATGAGGATGATACTTGTTTACAAGATGTAGTAACACCCACTTTAACTGGCCATCTTAGAAACAAATTAGAAAAAGATATTGACATGGAAGAAATAACATTGGCTGTTAAACATATGAAAAATAACAAAAGCCCTGGTGTAGATGGATTTCCAATAGATTTCTTTAAATATTTTTGGAAAGACTTTAAAGAACAAATAAACTTTTTTTGTACTCTTTTAACTATTACATATGAAAAATTTGTGGTTAGACTTATGCGGAACACCAAATGTATTCTTAAAAAACTTGTGGTTAATTAATACCGAGCGATTAAAAGTTGCCAAAAAAGTCGCCTGCTTCACTCTCGCCCGCCAACGAAACCACAGACAGGTTACGTAGCTCTGTCGCCAGAGCACTGCAGTGACGTCATATGAGGAACGATTTTCAGTTAGTTGTATAGAAAGTGTGTAGCACGCTCATCATTTTGATGATTTCTCGACATCAACGACGACATGCCGAATCGTTGCTTTGTCGTCAATTGCTCCTAGGGGTCGGGCGATGGTGTCACCATGCACAGATTTCCACAGGACCCCGCAGTTCGTGCTAAATGGGTTATGTTTGTGAGTGCGAAGCGAGCGTTGTGGAAGCCTGAAACGATATCTTACTTGTGTTCAGATCGCTTCAGGGAAGTTAAAGAATCAAAACTACTTACTAGTTGTAGTAAAATATGTATATGATTGATGACCATAAAGATTTTCCATGACACAACTTGTAACATAACGATTTCTTCCTCGGAAGTGAGGTTGTGGTCGAAGTAACAATAATATTGTAAGTAGTATTATATTGACACCCACCTCGCTGCCACGAGAGAAATTGTTATGTTATAAGCTATGTCATGCAAAATCCTATTGGCCATCAATCAAATACATATTTTACTACCAGTAGAAAGTAGTTTTGATTTTGTAACTCGGTGAAAACAAACCTAAATAGCATTTATCCTCAGACTGGCGGATGTTCGCGACAGGGCGCCGCCATTTTTGAAAATCGTAAAGTGACGGGCTAAAGTCTGTTAGAATTAATGAGATTATGGTTTGTTTTCATCAAGTTAGAAAATCAAAACTACTTTCTACTCGTAGTTAAATATGTATTGGAATCATAACCAAAAGGATTTTGCATGACACAACTTATAACATAACGATTTCTTCCACGGAAGCGAGGTGGGGGTCGAAGTCACAATACTGCGCGATAAAGTTACATTCACATGGTTAATGTCCACTCACCAGTATGTAGATACTAGTCAATGTGCGTCTTTATATTTGGTCTTATAATCCTAATTAGTTTATTATCATACTTGTATGCATTTTGAAACTAAATAAAAAGCAGACGATCTGCTGATACTTATAGTGAATTTATAACAGAACTGTAATATCTAGACATTTTATAGTTTGCCAATGTGAATCATAATTCGCACACACACCCCTAGTGTATGTTGTCTGTCTCATTACACTTCACGGCGAAAACAATGATTCTGTTGAATGCTACGACAAATGAATAAAAACAAAATGCAAATATTAAAATTAAAACAGATTAAAGTTACAGGAACAATGTCAGGCTATTACCTTGTTCGAGGAATGTATCCATTAATATCCACAAAAACGGGTGATATGCCATTCATCTGCAGGTGTTCCAAGTAATGTGTCTTTTAACAGTCTAGTATACGAAAAAGTGATTTATCGTTTCAGGTATGTCACATTGGTGTATAGTCTCATTGGTCACCCAAGATAGCACACCTGGCAACTAATTGCATAATGTCCACCTTTCTTTAAAAACAGTAATTTAGTTAGCCAATAATGGGCAATCAATCAATGTATTGGCGGTTATTCGCTTGTTTTTACGCAGACACCGACACGACAGAGTGTATTCAGTATAGATTAGTAAATCTACATACATAAACACTGCCTTTTGACAAATCCGCTGTGTAAGATAAAAGTAATTAATCAATCAGCGTGTTATCGGTTAATCCTTTGATCGATGTTTATAATGTTGAGTATTTACTCCAGACACAAGAAATGCCAAATGGGAACCTTTGTCGGGTAATCGAAGTGTGTTAGCACTAATTATACCTGTTATAAATTCATTAACTGACCATCAAGTGAATGATGACAAATAACATGTGTAGGTTTATACCACCTAACACGGGTTACAACAGGGAGTATTAATTGCTGTATTGCATGTGAAAACTTATGGGCCGACACTGTTTTGAGAATACAAACATATTTTTACATAAAATGATTAAATATCGAGGTAAAAAAACACAGAAATAGGATCAATTTGGATCAGTCATTATACAAATAAGGCCTAACGACACCAAGCGATTTTGACAGAATCGTCTATGAAAACAAGTTGTAACTCGGAAACTAGGCAAAGCAGAAGACAAACTTAAATGACAGTAGATTGTGAGAACATATAGCTTTCATTTTCCACAACAGTTGTCACGATTTCAGGTTCATACAAACCTGTAAACAAGATAATTTACCCCCTGAAATGTAGATGAATTCTGCATCGGCCCTCATATCTATTCCTCATATGACGTCACAGAGACGTCCCGCTCTGATTGGTTGAAATTTCGTTCACGGGTGAGAATTGTGCACTGTTGTCAAAAAGGTCGATTTAAGTTAATTAAAGACCGAAGTGAGTAGTTTTAATGACGGGGTTTCATTTATAGCGATGCCAGTTAGTGATTTATGTATTTGTACCCCCCTAGAGTATATGTGATCTTTAAATATTGGATCTATAGATTTATTAAAGATATTTTTAATAAGAATCAAATGTCTTTCACAATGAAAAGAGGTGTTATTACATGTATACCCAAGCCAGATAAAAACAGAACCCTTTTAAAAAACTGGAGACCAATAACTTTATTGAATTCACTGTATAAAATAGTAAGTACTTGTATTTCTAATCGTTTAAAAACAACCCTGTACTCTCTTATACATGAAAATCAGACTGGTTTTATACCTGGTAGAAATATAAGCGAAAACACAAGATTACTCTATGACATTATGTTTGAGACAAAAAGAAGAGACATCCCAGGTTTATTAATTTTGATCGATTTTGAAAAGGCTTTTGATACTGTCTCTAAAGATTTTATAAATTTGGTATTAAAAAAGTTTGGTTTTGGTCCCCGATATTTCCACTTACATGAGTAAAAAGGTTCATCTATATTGACATTCCTTGGTTATTGCTTTACTCACAAATGCAACAAACTACATGAAAAATTGATATTATTTTCTTGCTTGAAGTTTGAGCCATATTCCCTTCTCTGGCTGTAGCAGAGGGGACTTCCGGAACGTCAACGGCACCTGCAACGTAGTCATGTCGACATTATCCATACTAGTTGTCAGTGAGTGAGTATGGTTTTACGCCGTTTTTAGCAATATTCCAGCAATATCACGGCGGGGGACACCAGAAATGAGCTTCAGACATTGTACCCATGTGGGGAATCGAACTCTGGTCTACGGCTTTACGAGCGAACGCTTTAACCACTGGACTACCTCAGATGGGAGAGAAAGCATTATTTCGGATTTTAGTATCCATGAAGGTGCGGGTTTGAATTGATCTTCAGTAACCCATGCTTGTCGTAAATGGCGACTAACGGGATCGGGTGGTCAGGCTCGCTGACACATGTCATTGTATCCCAATTGTGTAGATCGAGGCCCATGCTGTTGATCTCTGGATTGTCTGGTCCAGACTCGATTATTTACATACCGCCGCCATATAGCTGGATTATTGCTCTGTGCAGCGTAAAACTAAACTCACTCACTATCAAATACCTGCGTTTGGTCAGATCTGACAAACTTGAAATGCTGTAGCATTCTGGCTAGTCCCATCTTGGTCTCCACCATGGCCATCCTCATCCCAATGCAGCTCCGTGGGCCCATCCCGAACGGCATGAAGTCGTATTGGCCAAGTCGGGACTTGTTCTCAGTGCTGAACCTGGCGGTGTAGCAGATTGTGTTAAACACCACAAAAAAGTCCATGTGAAAACGGTAACTAACATTTGAACATTTTGTTTATAATAACCTGGTCTACTGAACTGGCGCACCATATCATGATGGGTTTCTCCAATGTTAAAGACTGTCATCAATTCATTTTTTTTTCTTCCAGAACAATTTGACATGCAATGATAAAGCTAAAGTATTGTTCAAAGCGGGGCTACAACCAACTCGCTTTCTCACTACTTTGAGATTTGAGGTGTACACCAGTGTATGTGTATGCCAATTCTGAGTGGATATTTAAAAAACATTGATAATTGGGGTATCAGGGTTTCAAAAGCGTGCTTAGCTTTTCGGAATATATATTCAGTAAATATACCTTTCTGGCTGGAAAATGTCCGGATCTGGAAACACATTCGGGTCCCTATTCATTGCAAAGACTGGAGCGATGACCATGGTGTTCTTTGGAATACAGACGCCACTGATGACAATGTCGTCTGCTGCTTCCCGCTCAAACCTGACGGCTGGCGGGTAGAGGCGCAGAGATTCCAACACGCACATTTCGAGTTGTTGCAACTTACCGACGTTGTCGTAAGTGGGGAGAGTCTACGAAAGCGTGAAGAAGTGGTTTTAAAAGTGTCGTCTGCTTAGGTGTTCCTACAAGAGTCTAAAGTTGCTAACAAAAGTGTCTCATTCACGGGTTTGCATGCCCCACCCCTCCTACTACCCGAGTAGCACTGACAATAATTCTTACGTAATGCTAGGTCGATAGTTGAGTTCCTGTTTCGACTGAGCAGCCTACCTTAAACGTCATGTCTGTTCCACTAGTAATATTCCTCTTAAAGCGAGGTTATGGACTATTTCTTGTCTGATTTATAAGTTTGGAAAATGAAATTTTCATGATTAGGGATGAATTAGTTTTTAAATAGTCATTTAACTGACGTCAACGTGTACCGACAACGATATTGCGACACAGTTTGGGTACAATTTTACCTAGATCTAAACATGTCAATTACAGACTTTGTCAAATAAATAATTGACAATGATGTGCTTTGGTTTTAAATGACTTGTTTCAAACTAGTCTTCCAATTAGCCTGAGTCGGTGGGGTAGCCTAGTGGTTAAAGCGTTCGCTCGTCACGTCGAAGATCTGGGTTCAATCTCCCACATGGGTACAATGTGTGAAGCCCATTACTGGTTTCCTCCCCGCCGTCATATTGCTGGAATATTGCCAAAAGCGGCGTAAAACTCGCTCACTCGCCTGATTCTGGTTCCGTTCTATTTGTTCCTGGACTCTTCCACAAACAGTTTGGTAAACTGGAAGGAGTATGCGTTTATACAGTTTCTTTTAAATCCCCATCATTTGCGGGAGACAACACACATGAGGTTTTGCACATTATGCCCATATGAGGAATGAAACTCGGGCCTCGACCTGACAGGTGAACACTGGAACCACTAGGCTACCCCAAAGTATCTGGTTTAGAATACGGCATTCTATAGAAATTATTTACAATGATTATTCCAAATTGTTGTGATCTTACAGACAGTTGTGCCATACCTTATTTTTTTATATCGTGTCTATGCATACCTCTCCCAAGATCTCGTCTATCTCCATGGTAACCCTGTCCTGCCAATGGGGGTGAAGGGCAAGGTTGTATGCTACGAAGGACATCGTGGTCGAGGTAGTCTCGTGCCCCGCCAGGAAGAATGTCACCGAGTGAGCAAGGATCTCCGTAGAGGTCAGCCCTACACAGAACGACCAACAACTTGAGCAATGTTCCACCTATATGGCATTAGTCATTAGATAATCAAGTCTGGACCAGACAATTCAGTGACCGGCATCATGAACATCGACCTACGCAATTGGGATACGATGACATGTGTCAACCAAGTCCACCAGATCCCGTTAGTTGTCTCATACGACAAGCGTGGATTACTGAAGATCAAGGAACGTCAACAACAATGTTGGACACTACTGAAGTGTTCAACTAGACTAGGCCTACTTCAAATTCCTAGATCAGCATTTTATTACGGTTTTGTTTCAAGCATAAATGATGATAGACCTGAAATAGGTATTGTATCTTAGGGTTGTCATTCATAGGCGTCTTTTCACAAAGCAGTTTTCGTGGTTTAAATATATGCAATTCCTTTTAATTTAAAAGTCTAATTATCAATTCATCTGTATCTAAAATTATAGAATATCTTATCATCACAATTGAATTTAATTATATTTAAAGAGCTACTAAAATATGGTGGGTTTTTAAAGTGAGGAGCAAATATTTTCTGGTGTTGTTTTTGATTGCTTGTCCTTGTTTTAGTTGCTATTAATTTAGTTTTGCATTTCTGGTGTCCCCGTGATATTGTTGGAATATCACTCACTCACTCATGTATTTTGCTTCTGTCTTTTGGTGTTTTTTGCCTTTTTTGTTGCTGTTGCTGCTGTTGTTTTCTTTTGTTTTTGTTAGGGGGTAAAGAGATTGCCTTCGGTGTCGACTAGATATAAGGACCACGTGACCTACGGAATGTGACGATCTCTTTAACTGATACTCTGATTGGGGTAACATGAATTACAGGAACTTCCTTACAGACCGACCAGAATACAATAAACTTTGATATGGTCCTAAAGATGTAAAGATCAAGAGATCCAACCTGGTACAGACCTTTCTTCATCCCCTTTACATCGTACTGCAGGCTGCTACTGAGGTCGTCCTCTGGGTCAACCGTCCCAGAATCATCATGGTGGGCGTTTACCATCAACTGTAGCAGATCTGTCCTGGTCTGTAGACAAAGATGTCACATACACATGTGTACCTAAACAGACAGACATTTGTCTCCCTTTGTGTGTAGGGTTGGCGGGGCAGCCTAGTGGTTAAGGCGTTCGCTCGTCGCGCCGAAGACCCAGGTTCGATTCCCCAAATATGCACAATGTGTGAAGCCCATTTCTGGTGTCCCCCCGCCATGATATTGCTGGAATATTGCTAAAAGCGGTGTAAAGGTAAACGCACTCACTCGTCTTTGTTTGTGTGTAGGTGTGGTCGGGTATCCTTGTGGTTAAAGCGTTCGTTTGTCACGCCGATCATCCGGGTTCGATTCCCCACATAGGTATAATGTGTAAAGCCCACTTCTGTTGTCTGCCGCCATGATATTGTTGGAATATTTCTGAAAGCGGCGTAAAACCATACTCACTCACTGTAGTAGATACACACGTACAATCAACATGGGATGTAACAATCGGCCCGAGAATATCGATGTTAAGATGACAGATATTGACATTTTGTTTAAGGGCTTAGAATTCTACGGTAAGCTCACCTCTTCTCCAGACTGTCTGACCTTGACAGCTTGGTCCACAACCTTGAGGAAAAAGTCCAATGGCTGTTTAGGTGCAACTGATAGGTTGAGTAGTTTGAACACAGGGAGCACGAATGGCACTAAAACTAGAAAGTACATCATCATGTGGACATACACTGAGGGGCAAAAGAAACTATACATCATCATTTGATTTTATCATATGTTAGCGATATTATATCCCAAAGGTGACCTTTATTTGCTCTTAGTATACTTAGAATACTTCTACAAGCTGTTATTTTTAACATTTTAAAAGTTAAAACTATTGCATATAATACACAAGTGATGGTCGGTATCCTAAAATGTTAGGGGCGGTGGGGTAGCATAGTGGTTAAAGCGTTCGCTCGTCACGCCGAAGACCCTGGTTCGATTCCCCACATGGGTACGATACGTAAAGCCCATTTTTGATGTCCCCCGCTGTGATATTGCTGGAATATTGGTAAAAGCAGCGTAAACCCCAACTCACTCACTCACTTAAACTGTTATTTTTGACAATCAATAAATTTGGTCTTTTCGACTCAAATATACAACGCATGGAAGACGGTATTTTTTACCCCAGTCTTCATTGGACCATTGTATTTTAACACAAATACTTTTTATGATTTTGTTTGATTAACTGTCGCAGAAATAAGTGATGGGTATATGGACACCATCCATTTTGACACAGGTTCTTTCAGTGTCCAACTGCATAAGAACAGCCTCGTTATACATTCTGTTGTCCCTAAGTTGGGTCCTGATCCACAAAGCGTTCGTAGCGCTACGTCATTCGTAAGCCTATGATAAACTATAGAGTTACGACAGGTCGTAAAGTTACGAACGCTTTGTAGATCGGGATCCCGAAGAATAGTGCTTGAATATTGAACTGGTACATTCAGCGACATGCAAGCACCTGTTGTCTATTGGCTATATGGAGAAATTAACCCTGTTAATCCAGGTTGTGCTAGGTTCATTGGTCCGAATAAACGAGGTCGAGTTATGTGAACTCAAACGGCCTTGCCTTTCCAAACAACCTTATTCTGTGAGAGACATGACAATAAGGAGCGTTATTCCAAAATCCCAATAGGTAATACTTACAATACGACATGAAAAGGAGACCAGCGAATTTAACGTTGGTGAGATTCTTGGCGTGCTTGATGAAGCTGTCATCCGGGTTACTCTGTGAGTCGATCTGAAGGCCAAACGCTGAGCTTGCGATCACGTCCAGGGTGAAGGCGGAAAAGTGACTAAAGACGAAGTAATTTATGAAAAAAATTGCTTAAGTTTCTTTTGTTTGTTGTTTAAGGCCGGACTCAGCAATTTTCCAGCTATATGACTTTGGTCTGTAAAAAACAGTCTGAACCAGACAATCCAGTGGTTGTGTTTAGTTTTACGCCGCACTCAGCAATGTTCCAGCTATATGGCTACGATCTGCAAATAATCGAGTCTTGACCAGACAATCCAGTGAACACCATGAGCATCGATCTGCACAATTGGGAACCGATGACATGTGTCAACCAAGTCAGCGAGCCTGACCACCCGATCCCGTTAGTCGCTTCTTACGACAAGTATGGGTTGATGAAGACCAATTCTAACCAGGATCTCCACGGGTTTTAGTGCTTAAGCGCATTTGCAATTGAAAGCGAAAGTAGACATTTTATGGTCAAAGGAAGGAGTAGATATGGAAGGAATCCATCCAAAGGTATTTCACAACGGAGACATTTATCACACCAATGATGACAAACCAAGAATCAAAATAGGGTGAATCCGGGAGGGTGAATCCGGGATTCGAACTCAAGGTCAGCGGATCCTGCCATGGCGTTCTTTCGGTGTCCTTGTTCAGGTGACCCTGGTTACCCAAATAAGAATGCACTCACTCTTTCAACTCCACTTCTCGGCCCTCTTGTGCAAATTTACGGGAGTTGGCCACAAGCGTGTCACTGCACGTGCTGACCAGCTCACACACCTGGACGAACGTCATGAAACAACATTAGACTTTGTGGCACTCCGTACTATTCCTGTCGGCCATTCTGCCAACTGTCACCATGGGGCTTTTTTCTAATTATCCTCGTGTTTTAGGTCTTATGGTGTTTAAGAAACATTTCTTTTCCTCATGAATCATGTAAAAACTTAAAACATCTAACTTCCTTTTGAAAGACAACTTATCTTAAAAACATGCCAGCATCCTTCTATTATGTACCATATCTATGTGATATATTTACAATTCGGTACAGCTTGAAAACATGTAATCAGACAATATTTGTTTTCGGGCAGATTGTTAAAGAATGTGTTGTATACGTGCTACGTCAATGTAAGTTATGTACTGAAGGGTAATTATTGATTACCCCAATCATACAAAGACGTTTTCTCAATATCAGATGATGGAGCTTTCTCAACGGCTAGATCTATACCGCAACCCGGCACCACGCCATTGCGTGGTGTCTCCTTTAAACTCAAAACTCAAACTGTTTATTCTCTACAAACCGCCAACGGCGGTACATGAGATAAACGTATATACATTTACATAATATACAAGACAGCAGCTTACACGATAGAAAGATATAAGATAACAACAATATTTCATTTCTTAAATGCATTAAATATATGATTCAGTAGTTTAGAAAGACCTTTAAGGTCGCTTATGCTTAGTAGACAAGAGTTTCTTAAGATGGACAAATTTGGAAATTCTAGGTATTTAGTGTTCAGAGACTGACGTCGCAGTTGGAGAAAAGCTCAAATCTAAACAAGTAGTGAAACTCGTCTCCAAGAGCGCTTGATACACAGAGTGGACATTGTCGGTCTTCACGTGGAATGCCCAACCATCGGGCCAGTCTCAATTGGTAATTTATGGGTAGATGTTCTAAACTTCAAAATTGGGTAGTATATATTTATTGGAATAAGAAAAAGAGTTTTTTCAAAGATTGGTTGGGTTTTGAAATATTTATAATAATTAACGGTTGTAGGTTGACCTTCACCTCTGACCTGTCTGAGTTTAGCTGAACTGAAGGTCGGCGTGAGGATACTCCGAGACCGCTTCCAGTCTTCATCCCTTTGCTGCATGATGCCGTTACTCATCGGATAGCCACTTATGCTTCCCAGAGGCTGCAAGTAAACAACCGACAACCTAACAAAACGAATGTTCGAATTGTCTCCCCTTGGAATACTTCTGTCAAGGTCATCCTCTTCGCGTGACACCATCGTTACCCTCCCGGTATCATGAATATAGGACACTCTCACTATTGTTATGTCCTGTAAGGCTTAAGTCATTATCTAACCCGAATACAACGTATGTTTTGGGGGTTTTCTTCTTCTTCTTTTTTAAAAAAAAGACGTTTTATGAAACCTACCCGTCTATTCCTGAAGCTGTTGAACTGTTTAACCATAATCTCTTTAAGCATGGCCTTGTCTGCGACCAGCATGCATGGGTGATGACCCTCGTAGAACCTGGGCGTCAAACATGCAATCTTACTATTATAAAGTTTGGTAAAATGAAAGTTTTTTAAGAATAAATATGACCGTGATAGTTCACAGAGTAAACATTTCATATTATCCATCAAGAGCTTACATTATATCATATATTATAAATATAATGTAGTTTTTTCTATTTATCACATTTACAGTAAAAATTCAAAATGCCTATACAGCAAAAGCCATACATACCCAACAATATCTCCATACTGTCTCAGCCACTGTTGATGGGCCACATGGAATCCCTTAGAGAAAATAATAACAAACATTTGAAAATATGTCCGGCTCACGAGTGAGTGACATGGGGTAGCCTAGTGGTTAAAGCATTTGCTCGTCACTCCAAAGGCCTGGGTTTGATTCACAATGTGTGAAACCCATTTCTGATTTCCCCCGCTGTACATGATGGACACGTTCACTTTCCTAAATTCAATTTCAGACTGATTTGAACAGGATGTCACTATAAAATGGTTTGAAATTAAAAACATTAAAAAAAACCTCCTAAATTACTGATTCAAAGAGTGAGTGAGTGAGTGAGATTTTGTTTTATGCTGCTTTTAGCAATATTCCAGCAATGTCATGGCGGTGGACACCAGAAATGGGCTTCACACATTGTACCCATGTTGGGAATCGAACCCGGGTCTTCGGCGTGACGAGTGAACGCTTTAACTACTAGGCTACTCCACCACCCCTTCACAACATGAAGAAAGATCAAAAGCAAAAATCTGAACAGTTGTGTATCCAAAGGTTGTCAGTATCATTTCAAAAAGCACCCACACTTACGAAGTTTTTTTATTCGACACTAATTTTGTGAAAGTTGTTAGAAGTCATTATTTCTATGTGTATAACATGTTATGTATAAATTGTGTAAAGCGTCTTGTTAGATTGCAAGTGTAATAGATATTGATCACCATTTCGGCATGCATTTATGGATGAAACCTTGTAATTGAGGGTTTTTTCTCCACTCTTCCCACTGCATTAAGGAGGCAAGTCAATAATCGATTCTGGGCAGACAAACAAGTAAATGAAGCATCGGCGACACTCCACGCCTGTCCACCCGATCCCCATTATATTTGCTTGTTTGATTGTTTTTTAACGCCGCACTCAGCAATATTCCATCTATATAGAGGCGGTCTGTAAATAATCTGGACCAGGCAATCCCGTGATCAACAACACGAGCATCGATCTAAACAATGATATGTGTCAACCAAGTCAGCGAGCCTGACAACCCAACCCCGTTAGTCGCCTCTTACGACAAGCACGGGTTGCTGAAGAATAATTCTAACCCGGATCTTCAGTGGTTGATCCACTCTGACCCTAAATCACCACTGGCAGACTGATACTTGTAGCGCACCTGTTTTGTTTCGGTCAGCAGATTACCAAACAAGGGTATAGGCTTTGGGCCGGGGATGTTGAGTGATGCGAACAGGTAGTAGGGGCGTGTCGCGTACCTGTGGAAGAAAAACAACATGAAATATACAACATTTCAGAAATACCATAAACGTAACGGGCAAGTATATGGGCAGTCAAAACAAGACAAATCGTCACTGACCAATGAGATTGCCGACAGACGTGATCACCTATAGAGGCATCATCCTCCAGCAACGATCGTATTGCTATTGTAACAGATAAACATGGTACACTGGAAATTTGGTAGAGAGACCAGTGTGCCGTTGTGAAAAGCGATCTTAAGGCTAAGGTGATCGTAACTCCCATACATTAACACAGACTTACGACTGGCGTAGCGCTAAGGTGATCGTAACTCCCATACATTAACACAGACTTACGACTGTCGTAGCGCTAAGGTGATCGTAACTCCCATACATTAACACAGACTTACGACTGGCGTAGCGCTAAGGTGATCGTAACTCCCATACATTATCACAGACTTACGACTGTCGTAGCGCTAAGGTGATCGTAACTCCCATACATTAACACAGACTTACGACTGTCGTAGCGCTAAGGTGATCGTAACTCCCATACATTAACACAGACTTACGACTGGCGTAGCGCTAAGGTTGCTTTGTACAACGACACCCAGGCCATTACAGCAGAAGGAATAACATTATTATACATACCTTCCGTCTGTCAGAAGACATTTTTGTTCAACCAATAACTTGAAAACTGTACGTTCGATCGTTTTAAAAAAATATTTTGCAATTTAAAACATTTAACTTGGAAAAAAATTGTTTATCCAATAGATAGAAAACTATTGGTCAAAGCTGATATCGTTATATTGTAATTTGTTTTGTTTCTAAAAAAAGAACCGTAGTATATTTGTGGTAGCTGAAAAAGGTTTGTTCAACAAATCACTTAAACGCTATTGGTTGGATTGTTTTCTAATTTGGAGACCGCCTTCTTTGTCTGAAGGAGTGCAAATTATTATTCTTAATTTAAAAAATTGAACTCAAAAAGGTTTGTTCATCCAAAGATTGAAAAGTAGTAGTTAAAATTGATATTTTGATGTTTTTATATTAGTCGAGAATTGTCACAGATTTCATCTCTTGAACTCGGGAAAAAGTCCCACATCAAACTTGTTCAACCAATGACCTTACAATCATTTAATGGATTCTTTTCAGATTTGGGTGTGGCTTTTTGTTAATTGGAAGGTGAAGTGCAAAGTTGGATAGAAATATTGTATCTTTCTGAAGATTAATCATTATTAATTGTTGTTCAGCTGAAGTTAGGAGTCGCGTTCAGAGGTATCAGTGAGCACTGTTCACATATTCTGGCTTGCTGTTTATGTTTTGCTTGAAACGGTTAAAAGAAAAGCTACTGTGTGTAAGAAATATGTGTGACATACTGACCAGTTACAGCAAATAGTGATAGTAATGACCTCGCCACAGGTTGTATTGGTCAGTCCACAGAAGTATGGTGACTTTTAGCAATACTCCAGCAATATCACGGCAGGGGACATCAGAAATGGGTTTCTATCATTGCACCCATGTGGAGAATCGAGACACGGGTCTTCGGCGTGACGAGCGAACGCTTTAACCACTAGGCTACCCCTCCGCCCAGGCAGAATTATAGGCAAACCAGACACAATCAAGCTAATGCTTGTAAAGTTCCTTTCTCTGAGGATAAAATCTGGGGAGAAAGGGCACGTGAAGCACTGAGCTCACACAGGATTGGTATATCGTGCAACCTTACGGAACATCAGCGACAGAAACTATACTAACACAAAGGGGTAGTGAATTCGGTTACTATAAGAACGGAAAGCTGGTTGTCACTGACAAAGGCCCGTCGACTAATGCTGTGCCTGATGCGTCTTCTGCTACAGGAACTCCTGTAACTCCCTCCTACCACGAACGACATCATGCACTACTGCCTGCCTTGTGTTCACGGAGGTGGGGTAGCCTAGTGGTTAAAACGTTCGCTCGCCACGCCGAAAACCCGGGTTCGATTCCACAAATTGGTACAATATGTAAAGCCCATTTCTGGTGTCCTCCGCCGTGATATTGCTGGAATATTGCTAAAAGCGGCGTAAAACTAAACTCACTCACTCACTACTAGGCGGAAATAGAAGGTGTGGAAAGAGTCCAGCCGTATATACTGGCCCTCAGAACAACCATCGTTTCATTAACGTAAACAGATTGTCAGGAAAGATATCCGACAATTACTCCTTAACTTTGTTCGACTCCTGTTGTAGGACTCATGGGCGGATCAGGAATTTGGGGGTGGGGGTGTTTCAGGGGGTTCGAACCCCTGAACCCCCATTGGTTCCGCTAACGGAAAAAAATCTTCAATGTGTGTGTGTGATTATTGGGGATCGAACCCGCTGAAACACCACCCACCCTTCTGGATCCGCCAATGGGACTCCTGGTGAAACCTGGTCAAGCAACTCAAGCAACTATGACTATTCTACAGTAACTGATTACATTTGTTACAGTGTGGATACTGTTAGAGTTTGTTCTCACGGCAGACTATCCGCTGGTATATAACTGATAACAAGGGAAATATATTATGCATTAACATACGTTCAAATTGATGATATTCTTGGTCAAACTCGCTGGCTTGGTTGACACATGTCATCGTATCCTAATTGCGTGTTTCGAGGCTCAATCACTGGATTGTGTGGTCCAGACTCGATTATTGCTTAGTGCGGCCTTTAACGCCAGGGTATTATAATGTTTCAGGATTACTGAACCTATGTACTGCATTGTGTTGGTAATGTTTGGATGAGGCTTTAGGCGTGGTCACACCGTACGGTCATGACCGTTGTTCTACTGGACCGTATATTATAGTGATGTACATAGTAAACTTTAGTTTGATCCTAGTGTCATGTTACCACGGTGTACTGCGGTCAACACAACGGTGCAGTAGGGTTAATTACGGTCTACTAGGGAGAACTAGGATCAACCACGTTCAAACTACGGTAACAGTAGGGTCTAGACATTCAAGCTAACCGTAGAGATATCTTCAACATGTTGAAAAATGTCTGGACTAAACACGGCCAAATCATGGGTTTGCTGAAGTTCAAAGTACAGTCATAACTACGTTGAACTACGCTTAAATACGTCTAACTACGTCTAACTAAGATCAAATACGGGTCTACTGCGGTCTACTACGTTCCACTCTCCCCACTACGGTCAAATACGTGCGTTTCCGTAAGATGTGACCGCCGCTTTAAACGCGCGTACTGGGGTAAATTTAGATTTTGTGGATGACGACACTTTATCCACTTTGCATATGTATTACTGAGTGCTTGTATAGATATCGAACGTTTCTCAAGTGACAAAATAGTTAATAATTACGGTACAAAATTGTTTGACTTTTGTTCAACCCTTAATCTCTCAATTTTAATGGTTGATGTGGCGGTGATAAATACGAACATGCTGGAGATTTCAAGGTAGTCTGGAGAAAGTGTTCTCCACTATGTTATAGCATCAAGTGACATGTTGACATTATGCAGTGCTTTTCATATCGGATTTAGGTCAGAGTCTCCTCATCTGCCAATCACCTGTGATTGTCACGTGATGTAATCGACAAACCTTTTGCCATTCGTGACCAACTCGTGTTATTCCGGGACAAGCCGAATAGCGTCTTGGAGGTTACGGAAAGGGCGAGTGGTGACGAATGACCTTTGCAGCATGCGATCCATTCGCAACTATTCATTCATTCCGGCAAGCACTACAATGATCCCTTATTCAAGTTATTGTCTTCAAATAACAGGGAAACAACATCGCACAGCTCCGTCTTGTCAAATGTAAAGCAGTAAATGCATTAAGGGTAATACAGAATAAGGTAAAAATCTGAACTTTTCCTGGTGGCCTCCATAACAGAAGCTCTTACTAGTACATGGGTGATCATCCATAGTCATCACAGTGATCATTCGTAACTACTCGTGTCATTCCGGCAAGCCGGATGGCATCGTACCCTCTCGTGGCCATGTTTACGACTAGGCCGAGTCTAAGCGCAAACGGGCATGGAGATGAAAATAGTCTAGTACCATACCAAGGAAAGATAACTCCGAATTTCCAAACATGGCTCCTAGAATATCCCGTGGGCAAAACAGCAATACAGTCATTTCCTTTGTAAATATGTTTCAGTGTTTAAAGTTTCTGATCTTTTAACTCAAAGTTTATGTTTAAATTGTGCTTCACATAGTTTTACCGAAGTTTCAAACTTCAACAGTGCCGCCATTTTCATGCTTCGAAATGCGTTTTACTACGCGCAATTTGATTGGTTTGCCACGATTCTTGGAAATAATGGCGTACGATAGAGGTACGTACGAGTCTAGGTCACGAAAAGAGTCGAGTAGTTACGAATGCATGCGATCTACAAATTCAGTTTGGACAATGACTGTACCAGACACTGTCTAATTTCCTCTCTTCCGATGTAACACGTACTTTCGATGATTATGTAGCTAGTGAAATGTTTAGCAATGCCTTACACCGATCAGCTGATTTTACACACACATTCAATTTACAATGTGATTGCCAAATCTAATAAGCCTTGGTTCAATAATAAATGTAAATATCTAAGACAAGAGAACCAGCAGCTGATGAAAGTGTGTCGAAAAATGAAGAGTAGTGTGTGATTGTAGAAATAACTACAGTAGCCTGTAACAAGAACAGAAAAGGCTTAAGAATATATCTATCTATAATGAATGAATGAAGAATGTCAGCACTGAGACATATTTCTGGTATACGTTTATACTGTCGTACTAATGCACGTGAAAACATTTGGCTACAGATGAACGTTTTTTCTCCCTTTAACATTCTGATTAATTTTTCTGTTGAAGATTATGTCTTTGTTGTTGCTCAAATGACTTGAAATATTTTAGACTCACCAATCAGTAAAGGGGAAATCTAGAAGCTGTTTATAGCCTGAAAATGTTCCAAGCATACTTGTGAGGATGCTTAATCCCTGAGTTTTTAAACACTCAATCCATATGCTATTACTTCTTATTCAAATGGTGTTTAGTATTTTGTTTGTATTGCCAGAAAACTGGACCAAGGCAATGATTACAACACCATTGTATCTATAGAAAGGGTGGAAAATATATAAATATTAAGGAACTATTACTGCTCTGTACATTTAGCAGACTTTACACATCAGTAGTTAATGGATAAGATTCATAGAAATCACAAGTACAGTTTAGACAGGGTAACGACACAGTTGTTCAACGCTAAAGGGGAACATCTTTGCACTTTTGAGGGGTCGACAATCAAGACATGACTTCGCGTCAGAGATCCATGAGAGCTCCAACAGTCAGAGACCAGACCTAGCTTCAGAGACCCATGACAGGGTCCAACAGTCAAGACCTAACCTAGCTTCAGAGACCCATGAGGGAGTCCAACAGTCAAGACTAGACCTAGCTTCAGAGACCCATGAGGGAGTCCAACAGTCAAGACCAGACCTAGCTTCAGAGACCCATGACGGGTCCAACTGTCAAGACCAGACCTAGCTTCAGAGACCCATGACGGGTCCAACTGTCGAGACTAGACCTAGCTTCAGAGATCCTTGAGGGGTCCAACAGTCGAGACTAGACCTAGCTTCAGAGACCCATGAGGGGTCCGAATGTCGAGACCAGACCTGGCTTCAGAGACCCATGAGGGGTCCAACTGTCGAGACCAGACCTAGCTTCAGAGATCCATGAGGGGGGTCCAACTGTCGAGACTAGACCTAGCTTCAGAGACCCATGAGGGGTCCAACAGTCGAGACTAGACCTAGCTTCAGAGATCCATGAGGGGTCCAACTGTCGAGACGAGACCCAGCTTCAGAGATCCATGAGGGGTCCAACAGTCGAGACCAGACCTAGCTTCAGAGACCCATGAGGGGTCCAACAGTCGAGACTAGACCTAGCTTCAGAGACCCATGAGGGGTCCAAATGTCGAGACAAGACCTAGCTTCAGAGACCTATGAGGGGTCCAACTGTCGAGACCATACCTTGCTTCAGAGATCCATGAGGGGTCCAACAGTCGACCCACAGTCAGTGACCCCAACCCCCCACCAACACAGCCACCCAATCCAAGATCAATTCTAACCAAGAATTCTACGGATCGGTTCTGTAATGAATGTACTAGATCTTGTTAGAGATATTGAAAATTATAAATAAACCATAGTGAAATATGTGAGTGTATGAAAAAGGAAACAAATGTCAAGAGAGGTTTGAAAAACTGAACTTAGCTGTTCGTGACCAATATTTTGTTCCGTCACTGACTATTGTTGAAGCAGTTGAAGGGCAAGGCCCAGGTCACAAGGTCAAGTGAAATGGAGTTGAACGTCGCCTCTGTAAGTATTGCAGTTGTACATATTTGTGGATACCAGGACGCCCCAAACCTTGCTGTGTTTTTTAGTGCCAAGCCCAGTTTATTAAGGATATCTTCTCCCTCTAAAACCAATATCGGTGAGAGTCGCAACCGGATTCTCAATCGAAACATCGTTCACTTTTCTCTGGTAAGATCAAGTTACTTCAGTCGTGTCTCCGACATGTGATGACAACACCACTGTACCGAAGTTGATGCTGGTAAGCAGTTTAAAATTGCGCGAGGATGTCGGTAACTCAAAGTCTGGATGTGGGTAACGTGCAATGAATGATGCTGGTAACTCATACTGTCCTGCTTTAGTCGGTAAACAGAAATTGTCGAATTTAAAACTGCTTATTCTTCAACATATAGACATCAATATGCAAATTCAGTACATTCAATGTATTTGAACCACCAAAGGTTTATCAGTGTGCTACATAAGATTGATTGTATACACGCGGAAGATGTTGGGATGTTGGTAACGCACGTTACCAGCATCACCTTAGGTACAGATGAACCCGAACAAGGGGACGTCAGTCTGATGTAGACACACATCTGAGCGATCTGACAGGTCGAGAGGCTGCGAAATAGGTCATGTCCTTTGTCTTACAACTCCGATGCAACTAATTGTACGTGATTTAAAAATCATTCTGATTAGAGTTTTTGTCGTTGCAACTAAGCTGGATGTACAAGCTGTTACTGCAAATCGTTACTAAAAGTCGTACCGTGAGAATGCACCTTTATACTTCGATCATGCTTTCATTAACAGGTCACTGATGTAGGTCACTTTCCGGAATTTATCCCGCAGAAATTCTGCTCATTGTAGGGCTCCGTTTTAACACTCGTATGAATGGCACTACGTTTTAGTGTAACTGCGTAACAGTTAGTAGTAGTAGTAGTAGTAGTAGTAGTAGTAGTAGTAGTAGTAGTAGTAGTAGTAGTAGGTCACTTTCCGAATTTTATCCCGCAGAAATTCTGCTCATTGTAGGGGCTCCGTTTTAACACTCGTAGGAATGGCACTACGTTTTAGTGTAACTGCGTAACAGTTAGTAGTAGTAGTAGTAGTAGTAGTAGTAGTAGTAGTAGTAGTAGTAGTAGGTCACTTTCCGGAATTTATCCCGCAGAAATTCTGCTCATTGTAGGGCTCCGTTTTAACACTCGTAGGAATGGCACTACGTTTTTAGTGTAACTGCGTAACAGTTAGTAGTAGTAGTAGTAGTAGTAGTAGTAGTAGTAGTAGTAGTAGTAGTAGTAGTAGTAGGTCACTTTCCGGAATTTATCCCGCAGAAATTCTGCTCATTGTAGGGCTCCGTTTTAACACTCGTATGAATGGCACTACGTTTTAGTGTCACTGCGTAACAGTTAGTAGTAGTAGTAGTAGTAGTAGTAGTAGTAGTAGTAGGTCACTTTCCGGAATTTATCCCGCAGAAATTCTGCTCATTGTAGGGCTCCGTTTTAACACTCGTATGAATGGCACTACGTTTTAGCGTATCTGCGTAACAGTTAGTAGTAGTAGTAGTAGTAGTAGTAGTAGTAGTAGTAGTAGTAGTAGTAGTAGTAGTAGTAGTAGTAGTAGTAGTAGTAGTAGTAGTAGTAGTAGTAGTAGTATATAACTTACCAGTAAAAAAGCAGACCAAGGAGACAGACGAGAACCAACCACAATGGGAGGTCGATGATACCGAGAATATCCATGATACCCTATTACACTACAGATATATTGCATACGATCGACCCGTCCTTTATATACGACTGAGACAGACCCGACTTATCAAGTGAGCGCCTGTGTACATATGACCTATATTGTAATACCTAGGCCTAGTTGCGTCAAGGTTTGGCATATCGGCGTTGTCTGGTTATACCGATGGGATTACTTTATCACCAGGTCAATCTATAGTTCGTTTTCTGTTGACCCACTCGTGACCAAGTCGTGTTATTCCGGGACAGGCCGAGTATTCGTGTCCCCCTGGAAGGATTTTATACTGGCATACGAACGCCAGGACAACCTCAAACCAGGGCGTCATATGCCTGAATGGGATGTTAAACAAACAAGCTAACTTCAAACAAGAGGGACAACTCTATTCCTGTTTAATTCCAACAGCAATAAGCATTACTGAAACACTCGAAAATGCTGCTTTGAAAAGATATGTTTAAAACAATGAAGATAATGTTGAAAACATGTTTTGAGTAATTATACTCATGCCAATAATGGTTGTCACCCCCTTCAATTTTTTTAATTGGAGAAGGGGTGTGAGGTGTGTGGGGGTTGGGGTGGGGAGGGGCTGACAACCAATATTGGCATGAGTATATTCCAGTTGTTCACTAATATTTGCAGATGTATATTTCTGAATACGGTTTAAGAAGCGCAAATGGCATTTTTTTCTGCAATTAAAATAACGTCCCAAAATAGATAAGTACTGAAAAATATCTCTTAAACTGAAGAATTTGCGGAGACACATGTCAGCAATGAGAGTACGCCATGTCTGTGCATATCCCTTGTGGAATTTTAACATGAAGAATAAACTAATTGTGAATGGCCCCAGAAACGTCAGATTGAAATATCTCTAGCGTTGTGAAATGTAAGAAGAGCACATCGTTTCAAGAACAAATTTCAAGAATAAATTTGATTAGGGTGTGTGTGGGGGTGGGGGTTTGCAGGGATGCGCACCCCACCCCTTTGCCCTGATTTATTAAATGACATAGGATGTAAATGCGGATCAAGTGTTGTTCTCAAAAGCTGTATCCGCCCGTGAGGGGTGGGGATTATGATGATTTTTGAGGGGGGCGCCCATTTTGTTCTGGGAAGGTAAGGGGGGTCATCAATTTCGTGCACATGCACAGTGGGGGCAGGTGGTGGGGGCATTAAGTTTGGTACATGACATGCAGTGGGGTCTCTTACTTTGTACATAAATGTGAGGGGTAGGTCATTCACATTGTACATGCTTCTCCATACAAAGATCATCATCAACCGCTCCCTGGCCATAAATCATGAACGGTCCCTTAAATGACATGTGTCAACTAAAACTATTAGCTAATTATATTGCTGAGTGCGGTGTAAAAGTAAACTCACTCACTCATGGCTATTTATAACTACATGTACATCACCTAAAACTGTTGGACAGCGGACGTAAAATCTCCAAAGCAAGCCCGCAAGATCGTCAGAGAAAAACACTCATGTTGTTATGTTTACAAACGCAGGTGTATTTAAATCTTTCAGTTCACGACTATATCCCTATTTGAAATACTTTATATTAGGCAACACAAATGTGTTAGCTATCAAAATGACGTTACATATTTTTCACAAATTATGAAACAATCACATACTGGCATCGTGTATAGATCACGTCAATTAACCAGTCGCCATGAGCTAATCAGAGTAGATAACTCGAACTTTGCGGCACTCGTTTCAAAAATGAGGACTTTCAGACTTAGAAAAAATCATAAATTAATCGATTAAAATTTGAAACAGAGCAAAAGAAATTCTGGAAAGTTTAATAGACAGACGACATTAAATGTCAGTACTTTCAACGGGCTATGGAAAGCCTCATCCAATCTAATTCTTTGCCACCATTTTTTTAGCGAGAGGTTGACGATGTCTATCATTCAGAACCAGTCGTATCGCCCGTAACTGTCGTTCGGAATGCCCCGTGTTAACCTTTGTCGCTTGATAGAAAACACATTCGGACATTCCCTTTAAGCGAGGCTCTGACAGATCAGATGAAAGGTCGTTCTGTTCTGACCTATAACGGGATCTTTGTGTAGCGGCAGCGACGACCAAGACCTGATTTTAATGAGACTGGCGGGGTGTCAGATTAATGTGAGGCGAAGTCAATCTACTGCATGTTATGAACACTACCCTAACAATGGCTGAACTTACGGGTTTCCTTGATGCGTCATGGGACTATCAAAGTGTGAGCAGAGGCAGTGAGTGAATATGGTTTTACGTCGCGTTTGGCAATATTCCACCAATATCACAGAGGGGGACACTAGAAATGGGCTTCATAACTTCAACCCATGAGGGGAATAAACGCTTTCACCGCTAGGCTGCCTCTCCGCCCTTGGGTTTTGAGCTCGTAACTGGCTGTGTCTCCGTGTGAGCAAAAACTGACAGTATTGTATTCAACACAACACTAGCCTCCTGTTGAAAACATGTAACCGTTCCGTGATGCTTCCACTGTCACGTGGACAAAGTCAAGGGCGGGCAATTCGATATCATGAGAACCACAGGAATGGAACCGGAAGTTAGTGTAGGCATCCCGAAATGCGAGCCCTTGAGATACGAAGGATGTCCATTCGACGATCTTGCATGCTTTGATATTCTTATTGAAGGTGTTCTATTGAATATAATTCTGGGTGTGATCTATATCATAGGATGAAGGTAATACGTTCAGAGTGATCTCCCTTGGAACAAACTGAAACTGCTGATTATTCTGTGTTGCAAGCCGAATGGCCACCCTATCCACTTTTAACCGGTTCTAACAACATTTACTTAACCCGGTTCTCGATGATCAAATAGAAGCGACATGTCTTTAGTTTATAGTCAACATCTACATGATCGTTTGTTAATTAGACAACTTTTCCCGTTCGTCATGCCAATGTCCAAAATTATATTGACGATTTGGTATGGACAAATGACTAGCTTTCATACAATTTAAGACGATTTGTTGTTTCGAATGTATAAATACTCCTAGAAACGAATAAGAGAACACATGAAAGTACAAGTGCTCCTTTATTAATTTCCAGAATTTGAACTCACAATGCAATACATACCTTGTGAAGAAACCTGGAAAAGAATAAAGGAGCACATGTACTTTCATGTGTTCTTGTATTCGTTTCTATGAGTATATATTTGCCATTTCATCGGTACGATTTTGCAGCAAACGGACAATAGCTTATTTGTTTATTATAGGCGTGGGTATATAAGGAAAACACCATCAGATTATCAATCCTTTTTATTTGCAAGACAAGGTACGTTTTTACTGTAGTCACAAGATTTAATTCCTTCGTTATAGAACAAATCATCTGGACATGTATACTCAACCTTGATCGATTCGCCCCCAAAGCCTCCAAAACAACGAATAAACCTTTTAGGTGGACAACCATTGCTGTAGTCTGCGTAGACGCCATAATCTAAAGATGGCGGACAGATCAAGATGGCGCCGCACGGTATGTTTGTAGCGTTATCGCACCTGTCTGTGCCCTCGTTGAAGAAGAGTCCCGTCTCGCACGTCACTGACTGGACTTCACCGCCGCGACATTTGTAGAACTGTTTTGTTGGACACCCGTTGGAGTAATCTGGGTAGTAACCTTCACTCACATCGACTGGGCAGATGAACTTGGTGTTTGGTGATGATAACGAATCTGAAGCATCAATTGGTCATGTTGTGATGTATTGTTTAACGCCGCTCTCAGCGATATCAGGGGCGGTGGGGTAGCCTAGAAGTTAACGCGGGTTCGATTCCCCACAGGGGTTCAATGTGTGAAGCTCATTTCTGGTGTCCCCCACCATGATATTGCTGGAATATTGCTAAAAGCGGCTTAAAACCAAACTCACTCACTCACTCTCGGCGATATCCAATTCAAGGGATGTAAATAATAGAGCAAACTGGGCAAGATGTTACTCTAGTCAAAGTCAGTGAGTTTTATCACCTCTTACAATAGGAACTGGACAGGTTGCTAGGGATCCACTAGTATTCTAACCCGGACTCCTTATGGGGAACGTCATGTGAGGGAGTATAGTGTTACGCCGCTTTTAGCAATATCACGGCGGGGAATGGGCCTCACACATATCTCGGAGTATTTACGTAGGTCCCGAACACTTCGACACAACGGCGTTTGACTGTAATGAGTGAGTGAGTTTAGTTTTACGCTGCTTTTAGCAATATTCCAGCAACATCACAGCGGGGGACACCAGAAATGGGCTTCACATATTGTTCCCTTGGGCAATCGAACCCAGGGCCTAGAATTTCGAAGCTCTCTTAGCGCTAAGATAGTCGTAAGTGTCATGCATTAACATTAACTTACGACTATCTTAGCGCTAAGAGAGCTTCGAAAATCTAGTTCCTGGTCTTCGGCGTGACTAGGCTACTACCCCAGTGCCCAGGAACATTACGTGGTATTGTGGAGTAAACTAATGTAGATTTACTGGACATAATATGATGACAATTCTAATACTGAACAAATCTTACAAGAACTTTTGATTCAGATAAACCCCGCTTGAAAGTACATTTGGGCAGTGTTTGGGTTTCCATTAAGAATATCTTATAAACGAAGGCCAAACTTTCAACCACAAGAAAATCAATCTTTCAACTGCTCTCCTAACGGGTTATTTGGTGCAAAACTGGAGAAAGGTTCGTGGCATTAATTAAGTGGTTGGAATCAAACTGGTGTTACCTCTTCGAGATATGCAGACTCCGTGCGCTTTGGTTGTGCACTGTTTGAGTTCAGCATCGAACGCCGACCCTCTGTAGCACCATCCTTTGTTGATAGGGTAACCATAGTAACAGAAGATGTAGTTGAAGCAGGTTTCACCAGGAATGATGTCAAAATCACGTGAGTTCCAGCATGGGTTGCCAATATCTGAACTTCCGGTACCAACAATTCCGACCACTGAAATGCATAACGAAGACAAGACATAGAATAATAATAATAATAATAATATTATGTTATTATGATCCTAACCGTGTATAAATTATCACAGACAAAATATGTATCCTCAGCATAAATGGTTTCAGATTGTTTAAAAA